GCCGCCCCCCCCCGGGGGGGCCCTGCCGCTGCAGCGGAGGGGGAGCTGGGGCTGCTTTGGATGCCGTCCTCAGATGCAGTGGGGCTGTCACTGCTCCTGCAGCCTGTGCCTCGCCTCCCCATGGCAGCCAGCTCTCCAAAGCAAGGGCTGGAAAATGCCCGGGAGCCGAAAACATGCTCACCTTCGGTTTTCCATGTGCTCACGAGGAATTGGTGAACCTCTCCTGGAGCAACTGGAAATGCTGGGGAGATTCTGGCCTCGTCACCTGGCTCTGCTCTTGCCTGCTCCCTGGGAGAAGGGAGGTGCCGAAGGCTAAAGCTTGCTCTTGGGGGAGGCTGGGTGGGCTGGCCAGGTGTCCGGGGCTGCTGTACTGTCTGTGGTGTGGTGGGAAACGGCCCCTCGGTGAGGCCGGGAGGATTTTGTGCATGGAAAGGCATTTAAAAATCTGTCACTGGAGTTAAAAAAACCTCTTGAGCAGCTTTTAACTGGCTGCCTATGGTCTGCAGGTGCCAAGAAGTTTCTCGATACTGTGACTTGCTGCCTTCCCAGCCACCTTGCCTCGTCTGCCCTACTCCTGCCTCCCTGCCTGCCCCGAGCCAGGGGTGCACGTTGTGCAGCTGCCTTGCTGCAGCAATTGCTGCCAAGCTGGAGTCAATACCTCCTCCTTCCCCTGAGTGTGGCTGGGGATCGCCAGTCGGGAAGAGCCCCTCTTATTGCGAGAGGTGAAACGGGGTCCGGGCGCAGGCAGCGGAAGCCAGGAGCCATCCTGCAGGCAGGAGGAGAGGCAGTGCGGCAGGTCACAGATCTGCTTCCCTGCTGAGTTGACGGCTTCTGAGCAACTTAGAAACTGGAAAGGAGTTTCGGGGATGGCAGCGAGCAGCCCTGTTACCCAACCATGGGTGTCTCGGTGGAGGCCGAGAGACGTCACCATTTGCTGTGCCCTTGGCAATAGCCGATGAGCTTTTGTTGTCGTGCGCACTCACATGCATTGAGTGTGGTTGCCCAGCCTGTAGCCATGTGCGTGCTGCTTCCTCCGCCGATTGCATTTTCCCTTAGAAAGCGGTGCTCTCCAGACCAGCCCGCGATGCCGTGGGTGCGCGTGCGGCTCCGCCGACACAGGGACAAGGCAACACATCCCTGGCTCGGCAGACTGGCCATGGCAGGGATGCTCCAGCTTCTGCTCTCTCCCTCTCTCACGTGCAGGGTGAGCGCTCTGGAAAACGTGATGTCGGATAAAGGGAGCAGCATGGAGGGGAAGACGGACATAGTGAATGGTAAGAGTGCCGGCAGGGACCAGTCTCCCCGTGCCTGGGGTTTCCTGCTGGGGAGGCTCATGGCCTTGTCTGCACCACGCAGGCAGCTTGTCCAGCAGCCCGGAGGAGATGTCAGCTGAGGAGGGCCGAGAAACCTCCTCCGGCATTGAGGTGGAGGCCTCCGACCTCAGCCTGAGCCTCACGGGAGACGACGTGGGGCCTAACCGCACCAGCGCAGAGAGCCGGGACACAGACACGGAGAGCTCGGGGGAAGAGAAGGACTCTGACAGCATGGATGACACGGGCCACTACTCCATAAACGAGGAGAACCGTGCCCTTGACCGGTCGCACTCGGAGGAGGAAGAGGAGGAGGATGAAGAGGAGGAGCAGCGGTCCCACCGCCGCGCCCAACGCAAGCGTGCCAACCACGACCAAGACTCCTCTGATGATGAGCAGGCCCTGGAGGACTGGGTGTCCTCGGAGACCACGGCGCTGCCCCAGCCCCGCTGGCAGGCGGTCCATGCCCTCCGGGAAAGGGAGCTGGGCTCCAGCGCCCGCTTCGTCTACGAGGCCTGCGGGGCCCGGGTCTTCGTGCAAAGGTTCCGCCTCCAGCACGGCCTGGAGGGCCACACGGGCTGCGTCAACACCCTGCACTTTAACCAGCGCGGCACATGGCTGGCCAGCGGCAGCGACGACCTCAAAGTGGTGGTGTGGGACTGGGTCAGGAGGCAGCCGGTGCTGGAGTTCGAGAGCGGCCACAAGAGCAACGTCTTCCAGGTGAGGAGCATATGGGGAGGGTCCTCGGAGGGCTGGGGGTGATGGAAGATCCCCCACGGTGGGTAGATGCCTGCTCTAGAAGCATGTAATTTCAGCTGGACGGTGCTGTGCAGGGCAGGAGAAACGTGTCATTAAAGCTAAGGGCTGCTGGAGGAGTCCAGCCGCTGTGCGGTGGTAACTGACTGTCAAAACCCACTGGTGTGCCCTAAAATCCGCCATCTCATGGAGCGCTGGCTGGGGACGGTGGGGTGAGGTGGCCTTGTGTCCTGCAGCACTTCCCCCTGCTGCTCCTCTGGCCCCGGTGAGCAGCGGGTTTGGGAGCAGCTGTGGGCATGAGCCATGTTCAGAGGAGGCTGTGCCGTGGCAGGCAGCCTGGTGTGTGGGCAGTGCAGTGGCTCTGCCACCGCCAGAGGGGCCTGGAGGGCCGGGTTTGCCACTGCCACGGCACAGCCTGTGCTTGGAGGGACGCTGGCACCACCAGCATCTCCGCCAGGCTCCCAGCTCTCCGTCCTTGCCAGAAAGGGCTGGGATGATTGCTCAGAGAGCTCGGCCTGTCGAGCCGAAGCTTCGCAGTCACTGCCTGCAGATTTGAGCATCCGGGGCTTGTTGGGGTCTTGCAGGGGTGCTGCCCTTGATTTCTCTCCTATTTCACCCTGTTCCCATCCACGAGCCCCTGCCCTGGTGTTGAAAGCTACCCTTCCACTTACTCTCTTCCAGGCCAAGTTCCTCCCCAACAGCGGCGACTCCACTCTGGCTATGTGTGCCCGGGACGGCCAGGTCCGGGTGGCTGAGCTCTCCGCCACCCAGTGCTGCAAAAACACCAAGCGCGTGGCACAGCACAAAGGAGCTTCGCACAAGGTGAGCCCAGACCAGCCTGCGGAGGGGACGGGCAGCAGCTGGGGACCCCCGAAACACCTGGGGACCATCCTGGCTCGATGGCTGCCAGAAATAGTGCAGGCAGAGCTGTTGCTGTGGAGGGACCGGTTCTTAAATGGTTCTTTGTAATTGCTGTCACCTCTGAGGGTGACAGGGAGGGTCTCTGTGCCCTGCAAAGCAGTGATATGAACACTCAGCTGTGGGTATAGAGGGCTTGATGCTGTGTTGGCTCCTGTTAATAGCCGACAGTTTACTGGGAGAAAGGGATCTTGCCACTTTGTTGGGTAAAAAGGGAACCAATGCCCGAGTATTTATCTTCCAGCTGGCCCTAGAACCGGATTCTCCATGCACTTTCCTATCAGCAGGTGAAGATGCTGTAGTCTTCACCATTGATCTGAGACAAGACCGGCCCGCCTCGTGAGTATTTCTCTACCTGTTCCCACTGCCCGGACTGGGGAAGCTCCAGAGGGAGATCCGGGGTCCCGGGGGGCTGCCCTGCATGCAGGTGGTGCTCAGTTGCATAGAGCTGAGGGTCCCGCCTGTGCCACTGCGTTTTCATGGCAGCGTGTGCCTGTTTAATGGGCATAAAGTGGGAAAACGGATATTTTTTGGCTTTCAAGCAGTGTTGTCTTCCCTGAGGTGCAGGGTCAGACCAGAGAGCTTTTTGATGGCTGGTCTGGGGCTGGCCATCTCATGCGAGGATACGGATATGAGCCTTGATAATTAGACAGGTGTATTTGAACGCTTGTCCTCCCCAGGATGGGTCCCTGTTCAGACAGGAAACAGAAATAATACCGGTGTGGCAGGGTGCTGGGCAGGGGGGGGTGCGCCTGCCACGGTGGCTGCCAAAGGCTGCCTGTCCAGCGCCCATTTACCCATCCCAGGGGCAGCACTGGGGGTCCTGTGCTCCTTCTGCGCAGTGAAGTGGCTGATTAATCACAGCACTGAAATCTCTCCATGCTGGCAGCAGCTCGGAGTTCGCGGTTTGCATGACTCGCTCGTCGCATGAGCGCTATTGCAGTTAATTGAAAAACAATAATTAGCGAGCAGCCGGGTGGTGCGTGCTGGATCTTAACCCGTATCGCCGAGAGATCTGTCGTTTCTGACAAGCTTCCAAAATAAATCCGTGGCGGGTGTTCAAACAGATGCCTGGTTTTGGTATCGTGGTACTTTTCCAATATAGCGGCGTATTATTTTGAAGATGATCCTGCTTAAAACCGAGGGCTTCGGCGCTCGTCTCCTGGTGCTTTGGTTTTATTTGTATGCGCGAGTGCTTTTGGATACAGCCTTAAACCCATCTGTTTCATAACCAGGACAAAAACTGCTGGGGCGTTTCAAAACAGCCACATTTAATCCTCGTCCCCGCTCCCCCCCCGATTTGCTGGGTCTGTTTCAAGCGGAGTCTGTTGGTCAGTAGGCTGGCGTGGGTCTGTGCCTCCTCTTTCTTCGTGGGAATCCACACTGCTGTTTGGGTTTGATGCTCGCAGGGTATTGTCACCCTGTGAGTGTGAAACCGCTCTGGAGGCAGGGTTTGCAGGCAGACTGTAGGCAGCTCCCATCTTTCATTAAGCCGAATGGTATAATTAGAAGAAAGACAAGCTTTTGAGCTGGCTGTTCCCTCTTGAGGATGCTGCCTCAGTTTGTATTCGTGTCTGCAAAGCCGAAATATTGAGCTCCTGGGGGAGGGGGGATGGTGTGTGTGTTGGATTTCGTTAAATCTGGGCCTTATTACAGCGAGACGGGTAGGGGAAAAATAACAGCAGAGCATTTCTGCTCTGGAGTTAATCCGATTCTGCCCTCGCCGCTGCCTGTCCAGCTCCGTCGGGCTCGAGGTCGGGCCCTGAAACCCTTCAGACATTTTGGAGGAAAGTGCTAGGCAATGATTTCACTCTGCACCGCTTGAGTCGCAGACAGAGCATGTGCTCGCTTCAGCTGGGAGGCTGAAATGGTTGGGTGGTGTTTTTTTCTGTTGTTGGTGTGTTGTGGTTTTTTTTTTTTCTGGGAGTGAGTAAGAGACTCGCGCAGCTCCTGCTTTTCCCATCTGGACCCTGTTTTGAATTCGAGGTGGATTTTTTTTTTGTTGTTATTATTTTTCCTCATATCTTAAAGGAAACTGGTTGTGACAAAGGAAAAGGAGAAGAAAGTGGGTCTGTACACCATCTACGTGAACCCAGCCAACACCTACCAGTTTGCTGTGGGAGGCAGAGATCAGTTTGTCAGGTGAGTCTGTGCTGGGGACCCAGACTGAGTCCCCAAAGCGGACTTGAACATCTCCATGGGGGCTCAGTTGGTACCTCCGCAAGCTCTGAAATCTCCGATGTCCCTCCCAGAAACGCTTGTGGTTTCAATTATTAATGCCTTCACAGCCTGTTCTCCCATAAGCGGCAGGAACACAAGCGGGATTAATAGCGAAGGATTTGGATCCTTTGAGGTTTAGCCCTGGGATTCACTGTCCAGCCTGCCCTGAAGCCAGGAGATCCTTAGGAACTAGCAATGCTCTTAATGAGCTTCTGATAAACCTCCTCTCAGTGCCGCACCTGTGGGTGGTGCCCGGTGGGCATCGGAGACAAGATTGAGGCTCAGGAAGGGTCTTGGTTTCAGCGGGACCGAGCTCCTTAAGTGACAAATGCAAGGCCCCCGGCCTTCAAAACACTCTGGGCAGCCCCCTGCATGAGACCAGGCTGTGTCCATGTGTCTGGCCCCTCGGCTCCCTGCATCGGTGCGGAGCTCCCCCCCAAAGCCAGTGGATTTTAAGGTGCAACTCGTGTGGTGTCTATTTTGGGCAGAGGCAAATCGTGTGTGCACGAAGCCCGCCTGCTTCCCAGCTCCCCGAGAGCGAGCAGAGCTGCAGCGTCGCTTGGCTCCCCGAGGATGCGTAGGGGCCACTTCTCAGGGAGCTAGGGGACGCCGCAGCCCCGCCGCTGGGATCGCTCATGCGGCGTCGGCTCCCCGGAGCGCCAGCCACGCGGGTGTCTGGTGTGCAGGCAGCAGCTCCTGGGGCGCGGGGCATGGAAACGCTTAACACATGGGCTCGCAGACTGCTCAAACAGCAGCGCCGGTGCCTCGCTAGCTTGGTAGCTTTCAGAAGAGCCTGGGATTGTTGCTCAAAACACAGCCTCCCCTCCTTCCCGCTCTCTGCTCCTCTTTCTGTCCTCTGCGCGTATCCAAGTGCCTCCTCTCCCCCAGCTTCTCCGGCACTGGGCAGCTCCTGGTGGGTGCCCGCGTCAGGGAGGCTCGGGGAGGTTGGGGACCCGGAGGAGCCCAAGCCAGCCGAGGAACAAGCACGGTGGCAGTCACGTCCCCCTTGCAGAGCAGCCTCCGGGCTGACGGAGCCCCGAATGCAGGTCTCAGCCTCTGTGCACGCAGGCTTTGACGTTGTCACGTGCCACCGAGCCATGCCTCCGACATAACAGGAGGTGACATTAAGCTGCTTTGGCCGAGACTTCTGCCAGTCCAGGCCGCTCGCAGCTCTGCAGATCCCTTGGCGAGGGCCAGAGCGTCTGGCCAGCATCGGGGCAGATCATGGTTTGAGGGCTGGCTCAGATGTGGCGTCTGCATGGTCGGGGAGAGCTGCCGCGCTGCCACTCTCCTCCTGCCCCGGCCCTCCATGCCCGTCGGCTCGGCATCCCTCGTGTCTCGAGTGAGTACCAAATGCCTGCCATCCTTCCCCCAGGATTTACGACCAACGGAAAATAGATGAGAATGAGAACAACGGAGTATTAAAGAAGTTCTGCCCTCACCACTTGGTAAGTGGCTTGATTTCGCAGTGTACCCGTGTGATGGGCGGCACCGGGGGTCCCTCCCCTGCAGGGACGTGGCATGGGAGAGCTTGCGGGCGGGGGGACCAGCAGAGGACATCACGCGATGGCCGTCGGCTCTCGGCTGCCTGCGTGGGTGGGTGGCAGCCCTGTTGCAGCGCTGCAGCTCACGTGCCTGTCTCCTTTGTGCCAGCCAAACCTGACGCAGGGTGGGCAAACCTGTGGGGGTAACTGCGTCCACTGCGGGGTGAGTGCCAGGCAGCCAGGTCTCCTGCTGGCCGCAGGACTGCCCGTGCCAGCCTCACCAGCAGGACCAGCCTTCGCCCAGCTCCCGTAGCCAGGCTGGTGGCAGCGATGCTCGCTGTGGAGTGAGAGCCTGTGATGAGGCCTGGGCAGACCTTGCCGTCCAGATCTGTGGAGCGCTCCCTTGGGAGCCTTGTGTAGGAGCAGCTGAGAAGCGCTCTCTGGCCAAGTCCCTCGCAGGCTTCCTGCCTGGAAAACAGCTTGAGAGGACAAATGAACTGGCTGGGCTTTGGTTTTTTTCCGTAACCCAAATCTTCCACTGTCCATAAAGTCCCATCTTGGTGTAGGAAGAGGCAGCGATTTTATGCTCTGACTTTAAAGCCCTTGCAGAGCAGTGACTCGCAGGCTGAGCTCTCTAAGCAGGCGCGTGGCTGGCGTAGGTGTGCTGGCATGCTGTGGGAGGAGATGGGAGCAGAGCTGTCTGTGCTTTCTGTAGGTGAACAGCGAGTCCAAAGCCAACATCACCTGTCTCGTCTACAGCCACGATGGCTCAGGTGAGTGACTGACCTGCAGCGGGGCTGATGGGCGAGTCGCAGGTGGCCCCGGGCTATGGCATTGCGGGATGGAGCCGTCCTGGCCTGGGGAGGCACCGTCGGGCACCTGGGGGGCTTGCGGCACACCTATCCCTAGCAGAGAGACCACCTCCGCCACATGCTCCCTGCTAACACCCGTCTCTTCCATCCTACACCAGAGCTGTTGGCCAGCTACAACGATGAAGACATTTATCTCTTCAACTCCTCTCACAGCGACGGAGCGGAGTACATCAAGAGATACAAGGGACATCGCAATAATGCCACTGGTAAGGACTGGCTGGGACGGGTGTGGGGGCAGACCCACCCCCCGGCAGGCTGCATCCCGCGCCACAGGGGGCTCGGAGGCTCTCCCCAGGTCACTGTCAAACTCCCGTCACCACCGTGTCCTCTTCCCCGGCAGCCAGCGGGTCCAAGCTCGCTCTGGCTTCCCCCTCCTTGCACCCACAACCAGGCTTTGGGGCAGTCTGGAGGTGGGGGGCCGTCCCCAGAGCAACCCGGAAGAATAATTGCCTGCTTTTAGTGTATTTCTGCAGCTCCCTGTGTTCCATCTTCCTCTCAAAGACCCTTAACACAAACTTGGGCTTGCAAAGAATGAGCTATTATGTGTCTGGGGACGGAAGAGATCCACGCTGGTAACCCTGGAAACTCGCTGGCTGCCAGGCAGGAAGCGAATTCATGGCAGGGAGCGCTGCCCGGCTCCTGATGGCCTCGGGCTGCTTGTTTCTCTCCTTTCAGTGAAAGGTGTCAATTTTTACGGCCCGAAAAGTGAGTTTGTGGTGAGCGGCAGCGATTGCGGCCACATCTTCCTGTGGGAGAAATCATCCTGCCAGATCGTGCAGTTCATGGAGGGCGACAAGGGAGGAGTGGTGAGTCCCCGCCACCGTGCTGCCCTGCTCCTCCGCCACCTGTGTGCTGGGGTTTATGTCTGCATCCAGCACAAGCTGCTGCCGTGTGCCTGCACAAATTTGCTGCCGCTTTTCGTGTTTTTTCTACCGAAAGCCAAGCAGAGTCCCCGCGGGCTCCCAGTGCCCCACATGTGGGGTGCTCAGCACTGCCACTGCCTGCGGAGCAGCAGTGGGGATGGCTGAGGCAGGCTGGCGAGCGCCGTGGCACCTCGGAGGTCTTCTGGTGTATGAAATCCCACGGGGATTTCACCCAGATGCCCACGGGGTGCTTGTCGCCGAAGGAGGGGTGGGAATGTGGGAGCTGCTGCTGTCCAGGATGGGACAGCCCCCTACCCATCCCCGTGGGGTCTGTGGGGAGAGCTGCGTGCTCCTGGGCCGGATCCGAGCACTGCTTCCCGCTGGGCGTGCAGCTGCATCCTCACCCAGTCACATCCAGGAAAGGGACGCAGCTGCACCAGGGCCGGCCCTGTGCCGAATTTCCCAGGCTCCGGCCAACGGCGATCAGGTCCCGAGTGGCCACTGCCTGCGCTGGCAGCGGGATCCGTGCACGGTTTCGGCTCGGAGCCGGCAGATGCTCGGTCTTGCGCGCCACCCCAGCAGTCAGTGCCTGTCCCCTGCCAGCGCAGGGCTGGGAGGGGACGGGATGCGCTGGTGGCACCCCTGGCTCCTGGGTCGGGGCAGGCAGAGGGGTAGCAGGTTTTGGGTCGGCGTCGAGGGGGACAGCAGGTTCCTCGCTGGCGTGGGGATGGGTGGCAGAGCCCTGCCCGCTGCTCCCTCCCGCTCCCGGCCAAGCCGGTCCCCGCTGTGCCACTCCTCCGCTGGCCCCACAGTTGCCTTTTGTCTGGGTGGCCGCGGCCCTGTGCCAGCTCCTGGCGGCTGCTGGCACCGCCACCCCCAGCCGGCAGAGCCCGTGCGGGGCTGGATCCGGCCCGAGGACCTCCCTGACAGCCGGAGCTGGGCTTCAGCGCCCTGGGATGGATGTGGCCCCTTTCCTGTTGGGTTTGCTGCCAGGGCTGGGTTCCCCACTTTCATTGCACCCATTGCTTCTCAGGGTGCACTGGGCTCCGTGCCCCGTGAGTTACTCGGGGGCACCCCAGACTTTGGGGTTTGCTTGTGGGGGGTGGCGTGTGTGTCCCCCTTTCCCAGAATCAGAGCGTGGGGACACTGGGGGTGTCAGCCCCTCTCACTGCCGGGGGGTCCCGTGGGAAGCCCACCTCACTGAGCCCTACAAGGGCTCCCCATCTCCCCTCGCGCTACTGTGCGAGACCCTGACCCGAGGGCAGGGTGACGGGCTGGAGGGCCACCGGGGAGCTTGTGAGTGCCGGGGTCGGTCCCAGTGCCTCGTTTGGGGTGACCCCCCCACCTCTCTTGCCCCCAGGTGAACTGCCTGGAGCCCCATCCCCACCTCCCTGTCCTGGCCACCAGCGGCCTTGACCATGACGTCAAGATTTGGGCGCCCACAGCGGAGAATCCCACCGAGCTGGCTGGCCTCAAGGAGGTGAGACCCAGAGAGTGAGGTGGGGGATGTCAGAGGGCTGCGGGGCTGGGGGTTTCTCCTGGCCCTGCAGCCCCCTGACCCCCCCACACCCCGCCTGGCCCCAGGTGATCAAGAAGAACAAGCTGGAACGGGACGAGGACAGCCTCCACCACACCGACATGTTCGACAGCCACATGCTCTGGTTCCTCATGCACC